ATCCAGCTCCAAATTAAACAGCTGATAAATCCACTGTCATTTAGACAGTAAAATAAAAAGGCAGTGCTCTTAGCTGGTAGTTATGATATTAGAGCTGCATACATTTTGAGTATCCTTCTGGCTTACTTTGCTCTTTCGCTCTGTTTTCTAAGCAGGCAGAGTATTAAGTCTTGCTCAGGCAGCTCCTGGAACTATTCTGTGTTGTGCCAAGATGAGAGCTGCCTCCATGTGCTATTGGTGTTCTGAAATGATGTGCATTGCATTGTAATTTATTTATCATATGATGTTGTGTTATAAGACCTTAAGGAACCATACAGTCCTGCAGTATTACTAAGTGTAAAAGATAAGGTCTGGTTTTGCCTGATTGAGCAACATGTGCCAAGCATTGCTTACAATCAATTCTAACATGAATTTATGATCTCAGGACACAGGCCTCTCTTTTTATGTTGATCCATAACTTGCCTTCAATTTCTCATTGCTTTTCCAGAGTTTTAGCTCCAAAGTGTGCAGCATGTGGACTTCCCATTCTGCCCTCCGAGGTGAGAGCCTTTTATTCTATGTCCCCTCATGGAAGAAAACACCATGTCTCAGGTCTTGCTCTCTTTCACACTTGACCCTGCGTCAAGGCAGATATCCTTGCGGATGGGGAGAGATGATTGCTTCCCCCAGAGTGCAGCCTTTTGACCTGAGCTCATATGCTGTTGTTGAGATGTGACCTTTCTTTTGCTTGACAGTGAAGCTTATTCTTTCTGGGCCAGGCTGCTTTTTTCATCTCCTGCAGGATTATGCTGCTGCTAGTTTTATGTCCAGGAGGATACCCTTCCTTCATGTCAATAAATGCTGGTGGCACTCATGAATGACATGTGTGACCCCTCTGGGACTAACACATTTTGATACTCAGAGAAGATGAATCTTAGGCAAAACTAATTAAAAATGCTGAGAAATGTGATATATTGAAATTACCAAATCAAGATTCATAGAAAAGTTTGGGTTAGGAGGGACCTTAAGGCTCATCCAGTTCCAACCCCCTGCCACGGGCAGGGACACCTCACACTAGAGCAGGTTGCTGCAAGCCCCTGTGTCCAACCTGGCCTTGAACACTGCCAGGGATGGGGCATCCATAATGTGTGATTTGAGATAGATGTGACTTAAACGGAGAGAATTTCACATTTCTGGTGTTGCATTTTAGAGGATATCTGCAGTCAGTCAGTGATGACGCTTTACTATAAAAATAACTTCAGGTGGCAGGATTTATTTGCGCTGTCCAACCAGCAGCCCACATTCATTTCCTCAACATTCCCATTGTTGCAGGAAACAATCAACAGTGCATATGTCAGATCCTGCTGCAATCCTTTGTAATTTCTCTTTTGCTTGAATGCTTGCAGGGGTCTGATGAGACCATTCGGGTTGTGTCCATGGACAAGGATTATCATGTGGAATGTTACCACTGCGAGGTAGGTCAGCAACTTTCTCAGGAGTGAGCACTTAATAGTGATAATTACTATTATTTTTAAGATGGAAATAAATCTCCTGCCTTCCAATGGCCGTAGGTGAGCAATTCAAACCTTGCATTATATGTCCTTCGTGTCAGTGGCTGAGAAGTGTCCCGTTGAGGACAGAAGTTTTGCAGCAGTGTGTCTCAGATGCAATTTCATTTCTTGTCCATAAAGTTATGGGCAGCTTATTTGCTAATGAAGGAAATGTAGTGACTTAATAAGGTTTATCGCTGCCTTTCAGAAGCCTTGAAAGGCATTAGTGTATCTGATTTCCAAGTCAGATTGTTCAAAAGTGCTAAGGTGGTGACTGATCCTGTGTGGTATAACTTACCTTTAGTCTCATGGGAAATGAATGTGTCATTGAGGCTGGAGAAAGGATATGATTGCACAAAAAATCCTAAGAGACGCCAGCTCCTAAACACCATTTGGTGTCTGTGCAGAACTTCCCAGAGAGCCTTCATACTCTGCTGTGAATTAAAATAAAGGGATGTCTTCTCTCACTGTGCTCATAATGCACTGAAAAGAGGCTGTGCCTCAGCAGGCTGGTTTCACATCGCTACTGCTGCAATTAATGTAATGTGAAGAGGTGAATCCTATCTGAGAGCGTAAGGAGACACGAGCATGTTTAAAATACACAGGGTTGCACCTTGCCACAAGATAAAGATTATTCAGTAAGGCTGCTTAAGACAAGTTTGTACAAGGCTGCCCCTCAAAATGCCTGTGTCAGATACTTCCCTTCTCGTGGCACATGTTGGACTTCCTAAGAAGGAGCTGTTGTGTGACTTGTCTTCTGTCCTTGTCACAGAACCACCTTCCTGGAAGCCAGACCCCAGCTGACACTGGAGATGAACACATGCTCTAATAATTTGAGCTTCTTTTTGCAGGACTGTGGGATGGAACTGAATGATGAGGACGGGCATCGCTGTTACCCACTAGATGAACACTTGCTTTGTCACTCCTGTCATCTGAAACACATAGAGAATGGCACAACCCCAGCAGCTGCATACCAGCACCACTACTAGCCTGCATGGCTGACATCAGAAAGCCAGGACAGAAGATGGTTACATGATCTCCCTCTCCCCACCCTCAGTTGATTTCCTGTGCATGTTTTTCGCCAGTCAGAGATGTTCCTGTAAAAGGATATGAGAGATTTTTGCTGGATTCCCAGGGGTTTTATGCTTGTGAGTTCCAGCCGTGTCAAACCAGGTCCACTTGACCAAGAATGTGACGTGTTACCTAAACTGGTTTACTTCTACATGCCTTTTTCTGCTGTGAGGAGATTCCTCTTGGCTCCTTGTGGAAGATTCTTCAGTGAAAGCACAATTTGCTGTGGTGCCTATGAACTCAGATGGTGCCATGCACGATTAAAAAGCCAGAGGCTGGTGTGTCTGCCTGCCTACCTGATGGGGACATCCCATCAGTCTTACATTCAGAGTTTCCTGAGAAGCACATTTCATCAGATTCCCTGAAGGACATCAGCCTTTTAATACCAGTTTTTAGACACTCTTTTTATTAAGTCTTTAGGAAAAGACAAGAAAGGGGTCTGTGCGAAATGGCACACTCAGACCTTTCAGTCAGTTCCCAGCTATTGAGCCTGGCTGTAAAAGCACCAACTGCCCAAGCACAAACCAGGCATGCTGACTGGCAGCTGGAGGCCAACATCCCATTTCAAACAGATCAGAAGACTGGAGCAAGCCAGGCTGAGCTACCACGATGACTTGGGGTTCTGGGCTTGCATGTCAGCATGATACACAGGGGCCAGCCTGCTGTGTCAGAGTGAATAGTGGATCATGTTTGGTAAGGAAAGGTCGGGATGCTGAAAGTGTGGACATGGGGATATCCATCCTCATTTTGCAAAGGATGGATATCCCCTGTTTGCAGAGCAAAAGCTCTCCCTACACAGACACTTGCCTGATTTTCCCAGTTTGTCCCCATAGCTCAGCCCCCAGGCTGGCCACTCCTTTCCATGGTGTTTACCCAGCACAAAGCCATTTCATAATGGTGCTTATTTAGAGCTCGAGATCCTTATGAAGGCTTTGTTTCACAGGGATTTGGAGCCCAGCTCCACAAGCTGTACTCAGATGAGTATGTTGGTATAAACAAATGTGCTCCCATGAATAACAACAGTTTGTGTGAGAGAGGAGTTTGGCCCTTGCTCTCTAAAGCAGAAAAGCAAATTGTTTCTCTTTTTGACCCCTACTCAAAGGAATGTGCTCCCCCAGTTTGTGTTACCTAGATGATAGGTGTGCCTGCAGGACATGTTCTGTGGGCACCAAAGCTGTGCAGCCCCTCATGTACCAGGTACAAAGTTTTGCTTTAAGAAAGCTCTTAAAGCCTCAGGTTCATTTGGGGTTCCTACTTACCCTTTCCAACGTATTGTGTTGAGTTAAATCCTCATCTGTCTATGCTGAAGATGCAAATTTGGTTCTGACTGGTAAGAGGATGACATTCTTGAAGATCTTTTTAGTGAGGAAACTACAGTAAATTAGCCGAACAGTGGCACTGGGACTCCCAAAATGAGCCTGTCCTGAGAACCCACCATGGTTCAACCAAACCTCTTTTCCAGTAGCATGGATGTAGGTGCTTAAACATCACACCATGTAGTCAGACTGCCTCATGCACCCATCAGGAGCAGCTCAGGTGCTGGGGAGCCACAAGCTACCTGTCTCTCCTAACACATGTCACGGGCCTTCAATCTAAGTGGTACAAAATGCTGTTCGAAGTATTGAATGGTAAAACAAATGGAGACCAGTGACCTGTTAGCACCCTCCTGCATGTCTCTCTGGGTTGCCTTGGCTGAAATGTGAACGTCCCAAACTGCCCAAGCCTCAGGGAGTTCTGGCATGGAGTTTGATGGGGCCGACAGACCATCCAGCCTTCTGCCCCATCTGGCTGTAAGCACCTCTGTCTGCTGTTACTGCTCTTGGGGATGACAGCACACATCTGGAGGTCAGTCCTGTGCTGGGAACCAGCAGGAGCTCCAGCTTTTGTGTATTTTTGCTCTGCAGCATTGTTTCTTCTGGGGACCTGCAGCCCCTCAGTGAGAGACCGAAAGCTCAAGAACGGAAGCTTTCCCACTGCAGTACACGTGGCTCTGGAGCATATTTATCTTTGTAGAGTTGTACCTGTGATTTTAGAGGAGGTAAAATTGACCCCAAATAAGTGAGCTCTCTAGGGTCTTAAATTTAGCCTCCAAATGCTGGGTGGTGAAGGATGGAAGCAGGTTTCAAGGTGTGACTGTGGTGTTAGAACTCTCAGAAGGGATTGAGGTGGGACGTAACACCAGCTGATGTCCTGGTAAATAACTCAGTCCCAAGCAGGTGGGTCCTCTCCCTGAGCTTCCTTTGGCAGTGAGGTATCAAAGTGGCTTCTGGAAGTGAGCTGGAAACCGCAGCCTTGGTCGCCTGTTACTGTCTCTTTTGTGAGCTCTTGAGTTTTAGAACATTTCCTGGCCTTTGTTTTGGAAAGATCTGAAAACAACAGTGGGACTGCTGCTTTCTTTTTAAGCTGCAGTTTAAACCACTGCCTCACACTTGCAGCCTTCCCCACAACCTCCAAATTGCAGGAAAGAAGGGGAGAGGGAGAAGGGCCATTTTCCTTGGTGGAAAGCCTCAAGCAGCCTGTTAGTGGTGAGCTGTCTGGAGATGCCCTTTTTAATCACTGGGAAGTTGGTCCTCTGTTCCCACACAGCATCTTACTCCTGCCAGCCATAGAATCCCAGACTGGTTTGGGTTAGAAAGAACTTTAAGCTCATCCGGTTCCAACCCCCTGCCATGGGCAGGGACACCCCACATTAGACTGTGTCACCCAAGGCCCTGGCCAGCCGGGCCTTGATCCATCCCGTATCCCTCTGCGCTGGGGAAATGAGGGCTGCCCTACTTTCAGTTTTGAGGTTCTGTGTAAATTATTAAGTGCCGATGCTCTCCTTTCCTGTGTTTACAGAGCTAGAAACAACAGTGTGAAGCTACTGAAAATGGAGCGTGTGAGCTTGTGGGTTTGAAGCTGAAGCATCTTCTGCATTGCCCTGCGTGTGCTGACTTGCTCTGCTTTTATCTTTGGGAGTTAGAGTTCATTTAAGCTCATTATTTCCCCAAGGCTGTGGATGTCTGAGTCCCTGGTGATTGTCCCCAGCTTGTCTCTGGCTCTGCTGCTGCCTGACAGTGGGTCTGGGATGGGGGAATCATAGAATCAGTCTGGTTTGGATTGGAAAGGACCTTAAGATCATCCAGTTCCAACCCCCTGCCATGGGCAGGGACACCTTCTACTAGACCAGGTTGCTGCAAGCCAGCCTGATCTTGAACATTGCCAGGGATGGAGCAATTACCACTTCTTTGGTAAAAAGCCTGTTCCAGTGCCCAAAGAAGGGGTAAACTTCCCTGTGTTTCCTGCACAGAGGAGGCTTCTCCTCCTCCTGACCCCTACACCAGGCATCAGTGGAGCGGCAAGCCCTCGCTGCCTGCCTTCAGGCAGCTCTCCCAAAGGGAAAAGCAGGCAGGCAGATAGCTCTGGAGCTGGACCTGTGAGACTTGGTGTCCTCTGCAGAGGAATTGCAGGAAAGGTGTTCAATTCTGCCTCTCTCCTGGCTGATACACGTTGGGTTCTGCATTGGTTTCATATGAACCTTGTTGTCTTATTTATTGAGGTGCTGAAGCATGCTATGAAAAGTTAGTCCTATCTCCTCCCCCAGAGTGCTCTTCTGGCTGGTTTTAGAGTAAGGGACCCCTGGAAGTCCCATTGTGCTAGTAATGAGTAATTCACATGCAAATAGTTACTCAAGTGAATTCCCTGGAACTTGCTTTCAGGAACCAGAGCTTAATAGATTTTTTCCATTCAGATCGTGCTGTTAACACAAAACCTCATTTGAATAGGGATTTTTTTTTCCATAAAAGCTGGTGAAAAGGCCTAGCTATAGACATTTGTGTGTGATTCAAAATGTAAAAAACACGTGTGATCAAAGTGATTTAGGAAACTGATGTTAAACACAGGGAACAGCAGTTTCAGATACGCGGTGAGAAGCATCTGATGAGGTGTGTGGCTCTTTCTGAGTTTTGCTTGGGGGCTTTTAAAATGTTTTCCCAGTCTTCCAGGGTTTAAATGATTTTATTTGAAGATCTTTTTACTACAAAGTGAATGGCTCCTTAGGCTGGAAATGGTGGAGTTTAATCAGTATTGGGCTTTGAAAGGGGGAAAATGGGCTTGGAAAGAGAGGGTATGAGTCTGGATGGCTGGTCCAAAGAAAAGCTGGCTGGCTGTTCAAATGAAAGGGTTATCTTTGGCTGCTGAGAGAAAGAAGTGAGTATCTTCCCATGCTTTCTCCTTGCGCTGATTTTTAGCACTGGGCAGATATTTGGCATCCCTGAATTTCAGTGGTTGGGTCTGTCCTTAAGTGCTACTGCGACCTCTGCCTCTCTCCCATGAGCTCACAGACCTGAGGGGAATTGCAGGCACATGCTTCCCAATGAATTCAATCCCTATTTTGCACTTCCCTGGAAATTTGACCACCTTATTATTTCAGCAACAGAAAACCTGGTCCCTTGCTTAAAGGGAAACTGATACACGCTTTGACCTGATCCTCCACATCACCTGAGTATCATCCTGCTGCTGGTCTATGCAGTGGCAGTGCTGTACTCTGCTGCTGTTACTAAGACAATTGCATGAAGAACTCCAACTCCATTGAACTTCCAGTCCCACTGGAACCAGTAAGGCTGCACATGTCCATGAAGATCAATGTGTGTGCATGGATCAGTGCTGGATCACGGGCAAGAGGTGTTACTACAGATGAGACATACCTGAGGATGAATCTGCGGCAGCATAAAAGTGACCTTGAAATGATCACTGGAATCGACTGCCAGCTTTTCTGTTGGATAAACAGTTGTGTACTGGAGCACTGGGGTGCACAGAGAAAGGATGTGAAGGACTTGCTTTTGGTTACCATATTCCTGGACGTTTATTAGAGGGGGTTTTGAGGGGAAGCACACTTGTGTACACTGGTCTGGACTGTTCTTCTCCCATGCCAGCCTTGGCTGCATGCTCTATGTTCACTTTTGGGGTGGTGTGTGCTGTTGTGTCTGTGCACATGGAGGTGCAACATGTGCTGCCTGTGAGACTCCTGCCTTTCACACCTCTGTACCTATGCCAAGTGTCTGTAGATGCATTTTGGGCAACTTTCTGCGTATGAGCATAACGACAAGTTGACCCAGGCTTCATCACTGGAGAAGCATCTCTGGAGTCAGTACCTGCAGGCAGGGAAGGGCTATGGCCAGATCCACGTCCCTTTATCCCCCATCTTCTGAGGCCTGTGTCACTGGGAGAAGCTGGGAGGGTGTTTGTATTTCTCATCACATAACATTTGTGTGTTCATTATTCTTTTCCATTCCGTGAGTCCAGACAGAGCCTGGAGCTGCTCACCCACCCTTTTCCTAAGGAGAAGCAGAGTCAAGCTTTTCTGAGCAATAAAACTCCTCACCCTGCTTTCTTC